CAGTTTCTGCTCAAGTGAAAATGTAAATAAATAACTGTGAAAAAAAAAACATAAAAAATAAAAACAAGTGAAAAGTAAATAGACGCAACCAAATTACAAATTCAAAAAGACAAATGTGCCAGAGTGTTTGGGAGTGCAATTAGGCGGCGAAAGCAAGCAAATAATTTAGCAAAATGATTGTGAAAATGGAGCCCGACGAACTGATCACGTTCCGTGTACAGTATCTGGTGGATAGCGATCCATTATCCGCCTGCACCGCCTTCCCGATTCCGGTCCGGGCGCCCACCTATGCCTTCACCACCACCATGCCGCTGGCCAACCAACTGGGCACCATCCTCCGGCTACTGAACGCTCCACAAAGTGTAAGAATTCTATTCATTTAATGGGAAAAACAATAAATAGAGTGGTATTCCTAATAAGCAAGGTTGTTCTTCAACAAATAAACCATGAAGCTATTATTTTGGATAATACTTGATGGCTTTAAGGGCCTATTTTCAGACACACCTTTTTCCGATTTCTTGAAAACATAACCCCCTTGAAAACACACTAAATCAACAAGTTAAATACCTTTCTTTTTCAAGTTAACTGCCTTGGCTTAGCTTATCTTCTGGTAGCTTATCACCGTCGAAATCTTTCAGCCAAAATGAAATCTTTTGTTGTGCAAAAAGCCACAAGAAATAAATATGAAAAGGCATTAACTCTTTTACTGCGCATTTACGAGATACTTTTGTATTCACTCAAAAGTGGATAATAGTATAATCCAGATCAAGATAGCATGTTTGGGATTATGGTATTCTCCAGAGGAGGTCTTCGAAGTGTATTTTTGTGCCATGACGTCTTGTTGAGTTTTAATCGCAGAATTTGATAAAACTAGTAGCGATTTGTAAGGCAACAGCTACTCAGAATGCTAAAATTAATCAAAGATACTCAACCAAATGATGGCAAAAAAAATTCGCATATTTCAGTGAGGCTCAACACAATAATTTGCATAGCGTGTTTGGACGCATTTATAGTGCCGGCTCTTCCAAATCTCAGCATTTCCTATAAAATAAACGAATCAAGAAAATATAACTCGCTCAGGCAAAACTGAGCCAGCAAAAAACAGGAAAGTAAACAAAATCCACAATTGATTTATTCGAGAGAATTCCGCACAAAAGCCAAAGATTAAAGTTTGCCACAAAACTACAAAAACCTCACAGACTTTGGCCCAAATCGGAGGGAAATTTGAGCCTTGAATAAGTCAATTGAAACGGAATAAGTTTTATTTGCGGCTCAGAGCTTAGAGATTCGGAGAAAAAACGAGAAAAAGCGTTGAATCGGAAAAGCCACAACTAAAACAAATGGTTGGAAAACTTTTAGGGAAATTTGCTAAAATGGTAATTGGTCAATAATAAAGGGCAAAGTTTGCAGCTTTCCAGTTGCCATCAGAATGCAAACAAAGAGTTGGCTAAAAAACAGGGAAGTAAAGTGTTTGGATTGTTCTAGGCTTGGACTTATTACAATATATTATTGTGTATATTTTGTGGCAACAAATGATGCATTGCCCAGCCGATGAGGTAAGCCAATGACCCTTCATTTTTTCCGGCTTGCTGGGAGAGAGAGAGAGAGATCCCAGATCCCTAGCCCCAGAAGACAATGGCAGATTCAGGCTTGGCCCTGGTTTCTTTTTCTCGGTCCACTCGATCCACTGGGGGAAGACTTGTCCCGGGGCCAAGTCCCGGCCCGGCCCGGCCAGGCCAGGCCCGGCTAACTTATTGCTATCGCACAATCTGTGGCAACTAATAGGAAGTCGGCGGAGCTGCAACTTCTTCTTGGATTCGGGATCATTGTGAAAGCCAGCACAGGGCCAGCAATTATCTAAGCCGGCCATTGTTTGTTAGCTGACTTTGACTAATTTGCTAAAAAAAAAAACAACAACCAACTAAGGCTACTAAGGAGCATCGAACAGCCTCATTCCCTGCCTGTCATCTGTCATCCAGTTGGGATCGGAATCGGAATAGGAATAGTGCGCCGCAAGGATACGTAAATCTTGACAAGCGGCGGCAATAAATTCTAATGAGCAAATCGCAAAAGGAAGTTCTGGTTTCCCCCCCAGGTTTTTTTTTTATTCACCAGCATGTGCTCCAGCTCCAGGATGTTGTCGTTGCAGTCCATGGATTTATGTGGCATGCAACGGCAGGAGGAACGGCAGCTGTAAATGCCATTTGTCCAATTAGTCAGCAAACAGAACACTACTCTGCCGGCTACTCTGCCATGCAACTTGTTAAATTTAGCGCATTACAATAGATTCATAAATTTTAGCCCCACCGATCACTAATCTCCAATGCCGGCGACGGGTCTTCGATGACATCAGACATCGGGCGGGCGAACTGTGAGATTGAAAAGCTACAAAGTTAAAAATATAAATAATCATACTCGTTGTCGGCCAATAAAGCCAAAAACTTGTAGATCTAGTGGGGAGTATGCTAGGTTGGCATTCGGCTTACTACTTAATTATTTCCTCAAAATTAAAAACCATATTAAAATAGGTTCCAAATGAGTAGAATTACCAGCAGATTTATTTCTCATAAATTTTTAATAATATGTTTAATATAAGAGAACCCCACAGTCGGCTCTGGTTAACTTTGTTTTGATTTCCATTTGTGGGTTCTCCATTTTTTTGCCAATTAATTTCGTATCTTTTGCCTTTGCATTTGGCACGTCAGCAAAAAATTACACTATATAGAATTAGATAAGCATGTGCGGAGTTGGCCGCCAATCAAGGGAAGCCAAACAAAGGCAGATAAATACAATTTAGGAATAAAAGTTGAGAGCCCCATTCACAATTGAAGTGAAAAGCCAGAACGCCAATCAATTTCTGATCGCCCAGTTCAGCAAGTAACAAAGTGTAACAAAAAACTAATTTAATTAATTGAGGGCATTGCGTCACTTACATGTGTCATTCACACGACCGAACATTATTCAAATACAAAACGGATCACACGCTTGGATAGGCCGGCAAATTTTCCATTAGCTAGGATGCTATTTTTTGCAAGTTGGCCAAGTTTTCGAGCCACGTTGACACTTACGCATCTCTGCATATTTGCAGATATGATTTGCGCCCCTTTGAGGTTTATTTTGAGTTTAATTAGCAGAGCCGTCCATCAGATTTTGCGGTCAGGCGAGGGTCAATCAACTTTGATTGATGTGAAAGCAAAAGTGTTAGTCACCTACATCCACGAGGTCGAACAAGGTGATTGTCTGGGTCAGCACAAAATAGGTTTTAGTTTAAAAATATATACTTTTCGATTGCTAATTTGAAAGCATAATTAATGAAAATAAATTATGAATTTGTCAGTTTCCCTTTTTATTTATTTGGTTTCTATAAGGAAAAGACATTAAGTGACTGTCAGTAGTTTGAAAAATATTTACGACTTTTTCTAACCATATTAGATTTCTGGTTTGAATTTTCTCCTCATCGAGTTCCATGCTGGCCCCCCCAAACTGTGTCAATAGCCACATTTATGTGCTGCCAAAAATCATTTTGATTAAACATCTCGTCATGCCTCAGTCGGAGGAAAGAAATATCAAAAACAGCGACCGATTCAAAATTTGCATAGAGCTGTGAATCAATGAATGAATGAATATGAGCCCAGAAGACAAGGCGATGTATAAATAAATCATAAAAGCGACTCTGAATGGTATTCAGTTTTTTGTTTTGGCCCAAGAGCGTGCCTCCAATGTTTGCTTTGATTTTAATTGCCCTTTGGCTTACATAAAGACTAACGCAGCCATTTGACACATCATTTGGATGTGAATCGCCGGTTGGGTCTAGAAAGTTTCCAGGGGCCTGAATCAACACGAGGAAGCTTGACCCGAGTCGAGTACACAATCTTGTAGTTTTTTTGATAAGGAATCGTGACTCGTGCGAGACAGCCTGGCACTAGAGGGAAAATATTTTTGATTTGGCAGAGTCGAGTGGCAGTCGCGTCATTTGCCTAAGAAATCTTGAATGAGCACTTTATGGCTACGATTGCTCATGGCTTAGTTCTATGAAATGCAAAAGATTGCTTATAAAGGAAGTGATGTGGGAAAGTTTTTAAAGTTGTTCCTGGAAGAGTCACTGACCAATTACCATTGTTCGAGAATAACAAATAGAACCCTCAGGACATGCAATGGCTTCGGTAGAGGGTGTGTCTGTGCCAAAAGGGAATAAGAAGCCATAAAAATGGCCAAACCCAAACCCAAAGCCAAAAGCCAAACTCCTATTTTCAGGCTAATGCCGGGGTGTGTCCAAAGGGGCGTATGTGTAATCCTCCACCCGGATGACAGACAGTATTTCACAGAGACGTTGTTGTCTGCTTTTCACACATTAAGCAAGCGTCGACACAGATAATTCCATGTTGTCCGGTAATTGTTCTGTAAATGCAGAAATAATTACTTTCTGTGCGCCAATAAAACAACGACTGACCGCCGATCGCCGTCAATCAGCGCATTTGTGCACGCAGCAGGAGCTTGATCAATCATCATCTCAAAAATAATAAAAAAAACTGAGTTGAAAAACTGAAAACCGAAAGCTGAGAAAAGTAGGTGACTAGCCGGCGACGTCTTGGCTTTGACTTGATCTTATACTTGGTCTCAAGTCTTGGCCAGCAATCAACTGTCGGCCTCAATGTGCGCCTAAACGAAATCGTCTGCGGACTTTCAATGCGCCAGTGTCCGTCAATGTACACGGAACAAAACGAGCTTTAATCTCAAAGTATTCATTTATTTATCATGTCCGTGAAAAGCAGTGTATTTTTTCCCCAGTGCCTTGCAACGTTCTACGCCGCATCATCCCATCACAACCTCTCGGCAGCAGCTCCGGCTGAGTCTTTCTCTTTTCTGGAGCCGAGACCATAAACAACTTTTACTGCGTAGTGCGGTAGTGCGATGGTGATGGCCGTTGCCATTTACTTTTAGCCAGACTTTAATTATAATTGCCGGCGAAACTAAGCATTTCCCTTCCTTCTCGCTTCCAGATCGATGATGCGGCCATTCAGGTCTACAAGGATGGCGACTACGGGGCCTATTTGGATCTGGAGTCGTCGCTGGCGGAACAGACCGAGGAAATCGAGGGACTCAACGCCAGGTGAGTGTGAAGATAACAAAATGGGTGCAGTGGGTGTTGGAGTGCAGAACTAACCACACCAAAACCTGACCCAAAAGGCCTCCGAAAAAGCCGCTAATGATCTTCGACAGAAACGAATTGTCAACCCACATGGTTCAGGTGGCTCAGTGGCACACCTGGTGGTGCACTTCACTTCACCCACTCGCCGGGGATTTGTCCGCGGATTTCACTTTTGCAACCTGGCCTGCAGTTGGCTTACCTTGAACCCATTCGGCTTTGAAGCAGGTTTGGGAAAAGCCATTGGAGGAGCATTATCAGCTTATTTAAGACTTTCTTGATTTTTATTTATCTATTTTATCTCCAGCTGAAGCTCAAGCTGAGCAGGAAATAGCGATCCAGTTGCCCCTCTGGGTTACTGGGGCATCTGATCGTGGGTGGCTCTGTCGGCCTTTCACCGAAATCCAACATATTACCCATACGACATGGCGGCCGATCGCCATTGCCATCTCCGGTCCGCTCCTAGCCGATCCGCTAATAAAGTTATTTTGTCGGTCCATAAAAAAAATGCTATTGCTATCTGTGGCACAGGAAACTGAGTCTAGAGTCTACCTGGCTTGCTGCCTCCTGCCACTCTGTCGCTTTTCTTGGCACTCACTGCGGCACTGTCCTGGCCAGTCTGAATCCGCGTCCGAGGAAGACATTTGCATGCCACGACATTGCTACGTGCAACTTGTTGCTACTCCACGACTGCTGCTGGGACTGCATTTTGCAGTTAATTTGCATTTAATCCGCGCAAAGCTGCAGCTAAAAAAAGAGCAGCCAACTGCCACAAGAGACAAACTAAAAACGCTCGCCACGTCAGCTCGTAGTTGGTATATTTACATTTTTTGTGGGCTCCTCTCATAACTGGCATGTATGTTATTTATGCACAAGTGTCTACATTTTTTAAATACCCTTTTTCGAGAGGTAGCAAAGGTTGTTGAAAAGCACAGAGAGTATTTAATTTCGTGGACGGTTTAAGGTATTCGTCAGTCGAATCTAGTTTCCAATTTAGCACTTCTTAGTTGTCTTCTTTATTTTTCGCGGCCAGAGCCCGGGGAACGTGATGTCATGACAAAGGCAGGCGCTAAGGCAGCTCCACAAGAAAAATGATGTACGCGATGGGGCACAAGTGTCAAAGTAACTCCAGACAAAGACTAAAACATTGGCCACAACATGGTCATAACCGTACCCGGTTCAAAGTATTTCAAAGTCAATGTTCTCGAGTTGCTCGACCTCCTACATGGGTTTGGGGCTTGCTACGTCTATGGATTCTATTTCTGACTTTCACTGGTGCCTCCTCTATCAGGCAGCATGCCATGATCATCAGTCATTAGCTGCGATGCATCTAAGCCGTATCTTCAGCGAAATTATAACGTAAATGTCGCCGCGTCTGCGCAAATTGCTGCCACTTTGCTCGTCCACCTCGTCCCCACTCTATTTACGAGTGCTCTGGCGCCAGAATAGAGTGGACTGGAGTGGAGTGTTCCTCCCCAGGAGTGTAGTGGCGTGGAGTGCTGGGAAGGCAGTGCTCCCCTGTCTGCTGGCCACTAATCATGCTTATCGCATTAGTCATGGCAGCGCGCTCGCATGCAAATCATGCGCTTCAATTCGCATCAAAATTCCGCGGAAGGTGCCCGATGGCTTGTTTGCCGGCAAACGGCTTGTCAATCTGCAGAGAGAGAAAAAGTGCCAAGGAAAGAATAAGTCGAAGCGACACGTTACCCACACAGCCGTACAGGTGTGTCTCGGTCTCGGCCCAGACACTCACCTTTATTACGGGCTCTCGTCTATAGGCGAAGTCTTCTTGGGCTGCCCGCCGCCTCATAGTCCATTTTCAATTATCTGCGTCGTTTGTTATTACTTTTATTATGACTTGAGCTGGGACTGGGAATGGGAATGGGACTGTGACTGGGACTGGGGTGAAGCGAGAGCACCAGCAGCGGGTAATCAATGTTCTTAGCTGGTCATTGAACTGGCCAATAGCTGCTGGAAGGGAGAGGCTATTGGGGTGTCTGCCACCCATTGCGTTTCAAATTAAATGAATTTTTTGGAAGGGCTCTGAGACAATAACCTAATCTGGGCTCATACTTAGCTTTGGCCTGAAACTATTGATTAATTGTTTATTTAGCAACACAGAAGAGACTCTAGCCCTCAAACTCCCTATCTTCTGATATAATAACAACCAAAAACTAAAAAAAATTCCAATTCACAGCCGCAAGAACTCCCTGGTGGTGCGAACGCAACTGAATGTGCGCGTGCAGGCGATTATTGGTAAGTAATTTTGATGCTTATTGCGCATACGCCCCGTATAACCACCATTCGCTCCTCCCTCGCAGAGAAACTCCTATCCTCGGAGGGCAGCGACCTTCGACGGGCCCTCTTCTCGCTGAAGCAGGTGTTCCAGGAGGATAAGGATCTGGTGCACGCCTTCGTGGCCCTCGGCGGACTCAATTGCCTGGTGCGCGTGGGCAATTGTGCGGATCAAAACTATCAGAACTACATTCTGCGAGCCCTCGGCCAGGTAAGACAGCACCCTGGGAGCAAGATCCCTTCGGCGAAAGGCTAATTATGTCATTTGATGCGGCAGGTCATGCTCTATGTGGACGGGATGAACGGCGTGATGAAGCATGAGCCGACGATGCAGTGGCTCTACTCGCTGATTGCCTCCAATTACCGGTCCGTGGTGAAGACCGCCCTCAAGCTGTTGCTGGTCTTTGTGGAGTACGCGGAGTCCAACTGCTATGTGCTGGTCAGGGCCATCCACTCGGTGGATGCCACCCAGGGCACCCTGCCCTGGTCGAACATAATGAGGTGAGATGATGCCATACTTTGGATTCGATTTGGAACTAAAATCTTGAAAAATATATATTCTTAGACTGCTGAAGGACTATGATAATGCCGATGCCGAGCTGGTGATCTATGCTACGTCCTTGATTAACAAGGCTCTGGCGGGCTTGAATGATCAGGATAGCTTCTATGATGAGAGTGATCTGCTGGAGCAGCAGGGCATGGAGACTGTGATCCAGCGCTACATGTCTAAGCCAGGAACCGACTTGGATCTACTGGATCAGCTGCAGCTTTACGAAGCGGTCTTAAAGTGAGTTACTCTTCACTATACTTCATGGAGGTAATTAATGTGGATGCCTTTCCAGATTCGAAGATGGGGAATCGGATGGCCAGCGCCTGCCGCAGAATTCGATGCGCAAGACCCAACGCTATCGTCCTGGCAGCAACACCACGGAGCGACGCAAGTCACGTCGTCACAGCACAGACAACAGTCCCGCCCCGCTCACCAAGGTCCTGCCCACCACCGTGCTGAGAATGACTCCCACCCAGGGCATCCTGGATGAGGACAGCTCCGGCTCCACGAACTCCACGGAGTTTAGTGGCGGATTATTCAGTGAAAAGAAACGTGAGTGCTTGGCTAAAGTTTGTAAAGAAAGAAAGTTAAATACCTCGAATTCCTGGGCAGCTCGCGATGGTGCAGGCGTGACCCCAGGACTCCGCAGACGGCGAGAGCGAGCTGAGCGGCACAAGAGCTTCCTGAAGGAGCAACAGGAGGCGGCCGCCAATGGCATCTTCGCCGCCCTGGAGCAGCGTGAGGGTTTGGGTGAGTTCAGTGTCTTAAATTAGTTTAAATACTAGCTGCTTTTTACCTAAGCGACTGACTAACTAGTGATTCTATCTCTCCTTCCCGAAAAAAAAACCAAACAAAACGCTTTTCACTGCCCATCTGTGTGTGTTTTTGTCCTGCTGTTCACCCGCTGATCATGTCTAACCACCACCACAAAAATAAGGCCACATCGTAACCGCCATACCCGCTACCATCCAAGCTGGCGACAGCCCGCCGCCATCGCTGCCGCACGAGCCCGTGCCGCCTTACAACAACATGAGCAACATCAACAATAACCTTAGCAACATTAGCAGCAACGAAACGCCCAACAACAGCCTGCTCCTGATGAGTCCTAGCAAGCAGCTGCTGAGCGGCAGCCACAGCATCTCCATCATCAATAACAGCTTCGACAAGGCCAGCAACAACAACCTGAACAACCAGAGCGAGTTCCTCACCAAGAAGAACCTGGTGCGGGAGCGCAATGCCACGATGATCAGCGGCATCATGAAGAACATCCAGCAGACGGACAGTGCCTACAAGAAGTACGAGAACGAGGCCAACCGCAAGAACAACTTCTACACCCAGATGAGCCAGTCGCCAAAGCACCAGCCCCAGCATCAGATCCACCCCGATCCGGATGTCCTGCTGAGTCCAAAGAAGATCCTCGAGTCCGGATTTGACTTTACGCCCGTGCCCCTGTGCTCCACGCCAGTGAAATGTGATGTGCTCCCGGAACCGGAGCCACTCAGTCCGGTGCGAAAGCCCACTGGAGCTGCCCCGCCACCACCGCCCCCTCCGCCTCCGCCACCGCCACCCGGTTGGTGGCATGCCCCCATTAGCCGAGTGCCACCAGCAAACCTAACCACTACTAACACAGAGCTGCAGCCGCTACCCGTGGATCCCACAGGTGGGTCTCGACGCGATCTCGCTCTCACCTGTCCATTCCTCTCACCTGTGTTGCATACTTTCGCGCATAGAAGCTCAATCATGGCCTTGCGCCGGCGCCACTGCATACCTTTGAGGGCTCTGTACTTTCATTTTATTTAATTTCTTTTCTAATCAACCCATAGATGTAGAAAGCGAGGATAAGCAGCTCCTGATGCAACTGAAAAGGGACCACACTGTCAAGGACCTCACCCAAAGGCTGACCAACCTGCCCATGAGTCCCACTCAGGAGCATCCTGCCAACCGCGCTATTGTGGGCGATATGTCCGGTCTGATTTCGAAAGCCAAAGAGGGTCTGGCCAAGAGCAAGAGCAAGGGTGAGATTTCCAGGTGAGTTATCCATTGAATTTTTATCTCAAGGGGCATGACATATTGCAACAATGCCATAGTCTAAGGAGTTACAAGGAAAATACCAAGGTTTCTGGTAAAACTCGGCGAGTACAAAAGGCGCCTCGGTCTATAGATAAGCTTTTAGCAAAAAAAAAACCGCCAAGATTACCCACGTCATGCTCCCAAGTGTGCCGCAGTTTTATGGCCCTAATCACAGAAACAATAAAACCACTACGATTATTTGGGACTTAAGCTATCAAGTCGATGGAAAACTATCTACAGCAGCGACCTTAAAACAGATAATCACAGGTTGTTCACAGGTGGTCAAGATTTATTGAGGGGATCATAAATTAGTGTCTAGCTTAACCATAGATGGGGTTGTATTTCTCGTACAGGGCAATGTAGGCGGCCTTGGCAGCATCGACGGACAGTCCCTTCCTGCCCAGCCAGGCATCGTACTTGGCAGCACCCTCGGCATCGGCGGGCTTCTCGATGTTGATGTCGCCCTCGTGGATCTGCTTGTAGAGACCGTAGAACTCCAGGTACACCTCGGTGGGAGGCTTCTTGCTGAAAGCCTTGGTCTTCTCCAGGATAGCGTTGAACTGAAGGGAAAATATTAATTACATACTTAGTTTGTAAGTACTACAGTAATCTTAACTCACATCGGCCATGGTGCTTGCTTAGTAGACTTGACAAATGTGATTTTTGCCAATACGATACACTGCCTTTATACCCCGAGGAAATCGGACTATCACACTTATAAGGCCATATAGGAATCGATAATGGTTGCAACGATAATGTGAGAGTCCATTGTGCCAATTTGTCAGATTAGATTTATGTTCGGGAGTTTCGTAAGAGCTCAGACTGAGAGTAGGACCCGAAAATTTAAGGCCCTATCACTATTTGTCATCGGGTTAGTTGGCGGGTTTCTTTAGAAAGTAGTCCCAACCCCTTTTCGGTGATTTCTGATAGCTTATCGTCTAGAAAGAACCTCGAGGTGTGCGTCTGTCATCGACAAAGGAGGTCTTTGAAAAATAAAACCAAGATCATGATGACTTAAACTTACTTTTCTCTCTTTCAGATCGTCCAGCGTCGATCAGGAACTGAAGAAAGCAGAGCCTAAGAAGTCAGAGAATGAGCTTCATTGGGAGGAGCTGGTGAGGAATATGACGCGGCCTCTGAATCTTTGCGATCTGGACTTTACGGACCTGCGGGACGACGATGAGAAGGATGTGCTGGCTCCTCGGGGCCTGGGTGCTGGAATACCACCTCCGCCACCACCTCTAGGTGGTGTCATAGCCCCACCGCCCATGATGCCACCCAGTCTAGCACCACCGCCCATGTTTAGTTATGGGGGTAGTCTCACCAACAGCGTGAATAGTTCCCTGAACGGATCTGTGAACGGAGAGCTAATGAATGGGAATAATACCATCAAAAAGAACAAAAAGACGGTTAGTAGGGAATGAAAATTATAATACCATCAACTAATTATAATCCCCTAACAGGTCAAGCTGTTTTGGAAAGAAGTCCGCGAGGACATGATCCCTGTAGTGGTGGGCAAAACCATTTGGGATGAGCTCCCCGACGCCAATGTGGATACCCAGAAGCTCGAACATCTCTTTGAGTCCCGGGCCAAAGACTTGATGACCAAGGTGGGTATCAGCCATTAACCCGATAAAAGAACTCAATTGTTTAGGTCTATGTATAACCCAATTGGTCAAAGGTTCTCGAAATTCAACAAAGTTACAATAAGTGTGATTAAATTTAGTTATAGGCTACCCCTTTAAGTGTTTTTGTTGCCTTAACAACGAAAAGATGAGTACAAAATATGCGAATGATTTTTGTTTTCTTCTTTCCCCTCTATTTTTGGATATCTTGTAATATTTTATATAATCCATAAATGTCGAACGGGTCTGTTTTGCGGATATATCTACATAAATGTTGTGCTAAACTCAAACTCAAACCAATAATGACAAATAATTCTCAAATAAACCAAATGTTTCCGAATGTCTGTAGGAGGTGAGTGCCATTTGATAAAGTTTTTTCTTAAATTTTGATTGTCTTTCTATCTGTCTATCACACTACAACTCACGATCTGTTGCCCATTATGTTATTTGTGTTTTGGTGTTGGTTTTTATGGTCACTATCTATACACACTGTTTTCACACCTGAACACCCGCAAAAACTATACAGAAACTCCTTTGCACTCCACACTCTCGTTTACTCTTTGCACCACTCTGTGTTCTTGATCTCGAAACTGTCTATTCCATCGACTGGTCCTAACTTTGTCCTGCTGACCCATTCCAGAAACAACAAGAGCTGAACAAGAGCAAAGAGATCATCGTGCTCGACCACAAGCGCTCCAATGCCATCAATATCGCCATCACCAAGCTGCCACCGCCCAGGGCCATCAAGGCGGCCATTCTCAAGATGGATGCCACCGTGGTGACCAGGGAGGGCATTGACAAGCTCCTCAATATGCTGCCTACAGACGAGGAGCGGGGCAAGATCCAGGAGGCCCAGCTGTCGAATCCGGAGCTGCCCCTGGGCAGTGCCGAGCAGTTCCTGTTGACTTTGGCCTCCATATCGGAGCTGGGAGCTCGTCTCAAGCTCTGGGCCTTCCGCCTGGACTTTGACAACAGTGAGGTACGTCTATCGTTAATTTTAATCATTTATATAAATTCTTTAAAAAAATCTGACTACTTTCAGAGAGAGATTGCCGAACCCCTGATGGATCTCAAGCAAGGCATTGAGATCCTGCGTCAGAATCGCACCTTCCGCTGTATTCTTTCCACCCTGCTCTCCGTGGGCATTTTCCTCAACGGAGCTCCAGTCAAGGGCTTTCAAATCGAGTATCTGGCCAAGGTGCCGGAGGTCAAGGACACCGTTCACAAGCACTCGCTGCTGCACCATCTCTGCCACATGGTCATGGAGTCGAGCAGCGACACCAGTGATCTCTACTCCGAAATCGGACCCATTACCAGGGCCTCCAAGGCGGACTTTACGGACCTGGCCCACAATCTCAACCAACTGGAGGCGGAGTGCAAGGCCTCCTGGGATCGTCTAAAGCTGATTGCCAAACACGACTGCCCGCCACCGCTAAAGCAGAAGCTGGTGGACTTCCTGGCCGATTGTGCGGAGCGCATAATCATCCTGCAGATTGTCCACCGGCGGGTGATGAACCGCTATAGGAAGTTCCTACTGTGGCTGGGCATGCCGCAACACAGTGTGGCAGAGTCCCGACCCAACGAATTCTGCCGCACTCTATCCGAGTTCGCCTTGGAGTACAGAACTACCAGGGAAAGAGTGCAGCAGCAGCTGGAGAAGAAGGCCAATCATCGCGAAAGAAACAAGACGCGGGGAAAATTGATCATAGACATGGCCAAGTTCAAGACCAAAGAGGATGTGGCTGATGCGGAGTTGAAGTGAGTTTATCTTAGAGATATTTTTAGCTGAAATATAATACTTCTTCCACATCATTACAGACAACTCCTGGGCACACCTAGTGCTGATCAGGCCGATGGCACTCTCACCTGGCGACGACGTCGTGCCGAGCAGCTTCGTTCCCCCATTTCCCGCCAAAGCGAAGAGTTCACCGACGGCGACGATGAGATACTGGAATCTCTGGTTAAGACTGCCACCAAGGCGCCGGGAACACGGACCACGCCCAGGGAGCGTAAAAGGACGCGACATGCAGACCGCAAATCATGTAAGTTATTCGATCTGTAGCCTGTAGAACCCACCTATAACGAAACAAGACATTTTACCAACTCTGATGATCAGTCAGTGATACGTTTTAATGAAAAGGTGTTGGTCTATCTTTTCGAATCACACACAGCGCGCTATGTTTATAACCTGTAGCTGGAACCAGAAACAAACCCTCAGAACACACACCAGAACACACCACCAGTAATTCCAAAACAAGAAACAAAATAAACTCGATTTAGCCAAACTCTAAATTCCAAATTCAGACCACAATCCCGGCAGTTATTATCCCCTAATTCACTATCCCCAATTTTTCCCAAGTCGCAGCTTTTGTTTTCCTTGATTTTACCAGCTTACAAATCGTTTGCCTATATTGGGTTTTAATTTTTTTTCCATTTCGTTCTCTCACCATTAACGCACCAATCCAACCAACCAATAAAAAATAAAATATAAAAAATAAATATGTGAAAATAAAACAAAACCATCGCAGTGAAGCGCAGCCGCACGCGCGAAGGATTCACAGTTGAAAGAGCACCATCGCCGTAGAAAGTGTTACCGATAACACCGAACCGTTAACGTTATCCTTTACCGTTACCGTTACCAAAAGAACAGCCAACTGTTTTTTAGGTTTTACCTTTTTGGTTAGTGAATTGAATTGTGTTGAAATATTATTTACTTTTTACACGTTTTTGTTTGTTTTGAAACTTTCCCTCGGCTGAGACACTTCTTCAGCTTGTTTTTGAATTTTTTTGGCTTTATTTTTCCACCATTTTGTAAATATATTTTCCGGAAAGCATGGAAACTAACATATTGTCTAAAAGAAGGCAACTAAACGGCATGTCTCATACATTTAACACAGCATGGCAAACTCCGCCTAACCAAAACAATTAACAATGTTCTTAAAACTTAAAATTAATATAAATAATTTAAATATTTTACAGTGCGTCGCACGCTGAAGAACGGTCTGACCGACGAGGAGAAACAGCATGTGGCTGCCTTGATACAAACCTATTAGGCTAAGGACTAGAAGATACTTCAAACCAGCTTCAAACCCCGATATTACATATAGCGAACCGATCCCCAGTGACGTCACAAGTCGGGCATTGCGCGCACAGACTGAAATTGGCGATCTCAGGAGAATCCAGAAAGTCCCCCTTTGTATAACGACGACAACGTGCGCACCATTTCGTTTGGCCACAGCATCAAAGTCCCAAAACTCATGCAAAAAAAAAGAGAAAAATGCAAACAACGAAAATGTCCTTAAAAAAAGCGTTCTTCATAGTGTTTTTTATGTTATTTAATTTTTGTTTTTGCTTCAGCTAAGTATTATTAATTAAATGTAATCCAGTACACACACGTATTAGTAGTAGACGGAAACGATTTTAATATTAGAATTTCGAATGCAAATTTGAATATCCTGAAACCCAACATTAAATTTGTACCAAAATACGACACGACTTGTGCCTTGTCTAAATGAACTTGTACTCTAATGTCTAATGTCTAACTTAATTACGAAAATCAATAAATAAAACATATTTATTAAATACGAAAAAGAGTTGTCTTGCCTGCGCGACATTTCCAGCGCCAATCACAATCTTTGAGCGATTTTAGTCGCTACTGCGACTTTTGCAGCGACAAAAAAGAATAGCATAGTTTTGGGGGGACTTTCCTAAAAGCCGCTTGTGCAGGGCTGCTGCACATAATCCAGACAAAATCCCCGATTGTCGATGTCGTTAGGAGCTTCGACGCCATCTGTGTGGAAATAAAGCCGGAAAGGACGAACGCTTGCTGTGGAAAAAGACAAAAATATATGAATAATAGTATTAATTGAGCAAAACTTCTGAAAGTAAATTATCCCTCAGTACTTCTTTTTTTGGGAAGTATTTAGTTTATATTCGGTTTTGTTTCTTATCTCATATCTATAAAAAAATTTAACATTTTTTACTTACACTGTACCGTTCTCGCCAACATCCCAGCCTCTGCGCTGAAAGTTCCGCCACAAACTCGATCTTCGCATCCTGGCAGAGGTGGAATCCTATCCGCCGAACGGATGCATCCTATCAAAAGCCAATCACTTACACACCCACTGGCAGTGGGCAGAGTCGCTCCCCCACCGCCCACCATCGTGGGCACAGGGTTGTTGGAGTTTCCAGTCAGTGTAAAGGACCGCGATCTGTTGTTTTCCAGGTCCGGACAGGCATTGTATTGAATGCCGCAGAAGTTTCTCTCATTTCGGATGCATATGCTGTAGTCCTGGTTGGACAACTGCCGGCCAGCCATCGTGTTGTAGTTAAAGCTGCGCACCCGCCCACTGATCGCGGTGTAATACTGGAGGCATCCCTGGTCCGCCCGGCTGATGCTTCCGCAGTGGATTTGGGTGACACGGATACGCCATAGCCGCGGAAAGGTACCACTGGTAATCACCGACAAGACAATGGGATTACTTTGCCCCAGACCCGCATCAATGTACACTAATGGAGAATTCCATTTAAACAAATAATTAATTTAGTGTTTTCACAAATACGTACTGTGATCTCCAGTAGAACTGCCACAAATAGTGGGTGTTGGACTACCGCCCGAAATGAGCAACTGATCCTGGTTACACAAATGATTGGCCGCCTCCGGTGGGGCTATGGAAAACATGTCTAGGTCCAAACGCAACTGACAGATGTCTGGATGCAGCTTTTGAATCGTAACCTGGCAGCTTCCAGTACCATCGTAGACATCAGGATGATTGGGATTCACGAAATAGGTCGAATTCTCTCTTATCACACCGCCACAAGTCTGTAGAACTATAAAAAATTAAAGTTGAGGGAATTTTTTCTATAAAACAGTATAAAAAAAACTCACAGATGCAGCAAACGCCATAGCCACCTCCACAGGGACCTGCAGGAATCCCATTTCTCAACACACAATCCTTGCTAGGTATGCAGTTGCCTTGCTCTCCCGATGGCGCTGAACAACTGCCCGGACCAATGGGCACTAGTGCAAAAATAGGCAAAACTAATGGAAAGATTCGTTTTATGTTATAGTCTTTAATTTAAATTTATATTTTTATGCATGATAAAAAAATGTTGCTTTAAAGTGTATCAAAAGTTAAGAAAAAAATATCCAAAACTGTGTACCAATTTTTAAATTTTCCGTCAAAGAAAAATGTTTAAGCTTCGATCTCAATCAAACATGTCCAAAATAATGTATGTCCATTTTTTTAAATTTCATGAGGATAATTTTGTCAATATTAGCAGAAACTTGGATTTTAACCAATAAAAAAAGCATTAAAAACGTGGTTTCAATGGAGCAAAGTTACAGAGAACAAAAATTTAAACAAAATGGTAACGCGATTCAACTCTAAGCTTTTTAATGTGACACTATTTTTCAACTAATTACATATACATATTATGTTATATTCGCTTTGCATATTTTTGTTTACACTCTTTAGCTATATTTATTAATTATATAGTTCTTTTTTAAAAACCAACACTTTGATTCGCGTAAACGTGGAGCGGGACTCAGCCACTTTCCACCGAAGATCAGATCCCTCCAACTATTGGTGGCTGCTTGCTTCTGCACCTTGCAACTGGCCAGGATAAAAAAGCAACAGAACACTATGATCTTTAGTTTCATATTAAATAATCCTGTGAGAAATCAGTTGACGGTTTATTTTGTCGTAAATTTTTCAGTACATCCGATCGCGTTGATTTGTGACTTTGTTGTGGCAGGCAGAGCTTCCAGGGGCGACAATTTATCGCACTTGGTGTGGCAAAAAGTTTAATGACCGCAATTTGTTCGACGCTTTTCGCTTTTTAGTTTTAGTGAAGCCCGCTGAGTTTAGCTGAATATTAATTACAATAACAAAACGCAATAGCGGCACAACAATTAGATGCGCCACAATCAGCGAAATGTGTGGGATTTGGTCCCATCTCTATGGAGATACTCTCGCTTTCCACAGAAAAACACTTTTCCATTTGTTGGCTGGCTTCCTGTTGCGAATTTGTTTTCCACACCTCTGCCTGTTGGCCATTAAATATGGAGCAACTTCTCCACAGACCCGAAAATTCGAGCATGGAAGTGCTGAATAATTTGTTTACGGCATTACAATCGCAGTGAAAATTGTGAGGCATTTACATGAACATAGACCCATTAGTAATTGGAATTTTTATAGACACTTGCCAACCCGGAAAATGCGATCATTTTGACGTCATTGCTTCATATATCTAATTTGATTACGCAGCTCGGAAATATGTGGGTCAATGTCAATTAAATTGCTTAATTCAATTAGGGCATATTAAGTATTTACCAAACTTTTTGTTACCTCACGACACCGCATCAGAATTTTGTTAGCTGAGAGGAACTGACCTTCGCAACCGAATTTGCGTGGCTTTTGGCCCTGAGATGGCCAAAACAACGATAAGCTTTTAGTGGAAAGTAGCTACTAATGTTATATGACCGCAGGGCTCCAAGGCCACTTAGGATGCTGCTAATAAATAATAGTCTTGTTTACATTTTAAATCATTTGTGAGGGAAAATACCAGGAAGTAAGATAAGGATGAAAATATTTGTTTAGACATGCTGTAGATATGAATTAAAAGTCATTTATTTTCAAAGAGAGAAAGTTTAAAATTAAGCAAGATAGCAAGTTTACAGAAATGACTTTATTTACCGTGATAGGTATTATTTAGTTAGCTAAAGTCTCTACAGATAATACCACAGATAACAGTTTTCTTCTCTTTTTAAAGTAAAACAACTTTGCAACTTTTATTTTTTTTATAAATCCTGTTTATTTAATTTAAAAGTTAGGAGTATAATCTTTCGACACTTGGTAGAAGTACCCTGAAATCTTAACTTTTCTAGGAAATACAAAAATTGAAATACAAGTCGAAAGTTTTCTTCCAACGTATATAAAATAATAGTCATTGCTTGAATTTCATTTAATTAAAAATATGATTTATTTTGTATAAGATATATTACAAGCATTTAATTTAATATTTAGGCAGTTTTATCGCATTCCAGATTTCCTGTAACCTCACAGCTATCCACACAGAACTTCCCAGAGCGGATGGAGCAGACTGTGTTGGCCTTGCAGCTGGATGGAGTTCCGGTCAGATTGGTGCCACTGCACATCTGGAAGGTGGTGCGGCTGGTGCAAACAAAAAGGTTGGTGCCGTCACAGGACTCGCAGGATCCGTCAGCTTCGGAGTCAGGGCAGGCCGGGGTAGCTCCACTGGGCATGCAAAAAGCTTCGTACTCCGTGCACACCTGCTCATCGGGGCAGGCTTGGACCTGGCCAGTTTCCACGTTGTCGGAGCAATACTCAAAGTATGTTTCGTTCAGGCATTTAACACCATTGGACTGACAACTATTACAAGCGCCCAGAACCAAACCAGCCATCGAGCAAATGGCCGCAAAAAGGCACTATAATATACACAAAATTACCAAAGTCTCTTCAATATTTCTCTGAAATACTTACCAAATTTCTCAGGATCTGAACGTTCTGCATTATGCTAAGTTATGTCTTTGACTGACTGAGTTTCCAGCCAGCCAGTTGCCTTTATATGAAAAGGTTTTGAGAGGAAAGATACAGATTACTTTTTATGGAGGGACTTTACTTCCTTAATATATGAGACTACTTATTTGCTTTGTACCGCTCCCGTGCTACTCGGAGATTAGTTTACCTGGAAAGACATTGAAAGATAAATGTTAAGTCCCCGAGATAATCATAAAGATATGAGTCCAGAGTTTTATATAAAGCTTGGCGTAGTTCCTGATGGGATTTAATTGAAATCTAGCCATGGAACTGCTAAAACTGGTCGCTGTTTTGGGAGTCTTACTGACTCCGGTGGCTGTCAACGCCACCTGTAATAAGTGCAACGATGGGCACACCTGCATTAGCAGAACGCAGTTCCAATTCTGCGACAATCGTAGGTTTATTGACTTGAAACTTATAAAAATAATAAATAATACAATTTCTTTCTTCCCAGCATCGGTGGATCAGTCAACAGTTTATGAATGCCCTGAAGAGAGCCCTATTTGTGTGGACTACGGAGCCATATGCTTTCCAGAAAGCTCTGGTGTTTCAGCCGGATGTGGTGATACCTCCAACTGTGGCGTTTGCTCCAATGATGAGACATTTGCCTGCACCTCCCGCACCACCTTTGCCCTGTGCAGTGGTGGCGCTGTTACGGGAAACAATATCAACTGCACCGACGATTATGTTTGCAGTGTTTCAGGTGCCTCAACTGGTAGTCCCTGTATCTCCCGATGCAGTGCCACAGATGGAGATATTTGCGATGTGGCGCTGAACAGCAACGAAGATAATAGCACCACAACCACGGTTGATCCAACAGCTACAACTACTTCGGATGGAACCACTGATAGCACTACTGCTTCTGATTCAAATTCTACTTTGACTACGGATTCAACCACTGAACCAGGTACCACCACCACCATTATCCCTCCGGACTTCGATGAGCAAACTTATTGCCAAGGACTTAGTGCAGTGGGTCGTTATCCTATTCCTAATGACACAGTTTGTACAAGGTGAGTCCTGGAAAAGAGCCCTACGTTACTTTAAAACACAAAAATAACATTTTTTTAATTCTCAGCTACGTATACTGTGTCTATAGAAGCGAAAGTTGGTCAGGAGTAGTGTACCCGTGTCCTTCCGCGAAGCCTTATTTCAATGCAAATGACTATAACTGTGGAACTGTCCAGCCAACTTCTGCAGGATGCCTTATTTAGGAACTACTTAACATATGTTGATAAATATTATAGAACAAATTAAATAAACAAATAATTTTATTCAAAACAGCGTAAGAACTTCCTCAAATAATATTTAACGACAAAAGATTAGATATCATTTAAAGATAACAAATTAAAAAAATTTAGATTCCCTTTATCCATGAAATCACAAATTTTATCACCTCTAAACAGGTGACTCCCTGTCACACTCAAAGCCATCTTGATTATTTTCTATCCAACATCGATCCGCACAAATGGTTCCGGACTTTATGGAACAGTAAGTGTTCGCCTTACACTTTGAAACTTGACTTGTGAGGGTATTCCCATTGCACATCTGAAAAGTGGTGCGGCTGGTGCAGACAAATATACTTGTTCCATCACAGGAGGGGCACTCTACTGCAGAACAGGATGGTTCCACAGCTCCTTCCGGCATACAGATGGCCTTAAGGGATGTGCACACCTTACTTTCAGGACACTCCACCACCTGAGAGTTATCTATGTGTTCCGAGCAAAATGAGAAATGCGTTTGATTTATGCACTTGATGTTGTTATCCTTCTGACACTCATTGCATTTTCCCAGGACATTTGCGACCAGGATGCCAAAGGTAAAAAAGAAGCACTACAAGAACTATTATTTAATCACTTATAGAAGAATTAAGTTTTTTAAGTTTCCTTACCAAGTTTTGTAGAATTCTAGACCGCTGCATTTTGCTGCTCCAACTAGACTAACTGCACTATATGAAGTGCACTTTTTTAAATGATTGCATTAAGTAAATATTTTAGGTTCTTTACACAATCTTTATGGTATTGTTCTTTGATGCTATCTACAGCTACTGTGCTAAACAGATATTATCTTTGCAGTTTTATCTTGAATTAAATTACGTCATTGAAGGAGAAGTAATAGTAATGAATATATACATAAGAAAAACCATATCTAAAAGATAGATCCAAGTTAGAACTTCAAACTATATAGTTCGATCGTCATCTTAAAAGAATCCATAAGCAAAGCCAATCCACTATTACAACTTTCTTTCCTCGGTCCGTTCCACCTATTTGAAGCCTTTTAATTAAAGAGTTTGACGACTTTTGGGGAATGTCCGCACCCACGCACTGCCATTCGATGCAGCCTGGCCAGAATAACTCAAATCACTACCGACTAAAGAGCCCATAAAACAGCAATCATGTGGAAAGCCAAGGCAAATAAAACAATTAGCAGGCCTGAAGAAAAGTAAAGAGTAGATAAACATTAGCGACTGAAATAGTCTTTAACAAAAAGTAGCTATCATAATCCGACTCGGTTTAGTATGAACAAAACCTTGACAGAGAGCAGGAGTCTAGCGGCAAATATAAAATGTCTCAAAGGATTGCCAATTTATTAAAAGGATTTACGGTGGTAAAGTAAAAAAAATGTATGAGTCAATCAGAATTAAATAATTCTTGCATAGGTGGCTGTCGCTTTCTTGGTGGCTCAATCGTGGTCGGAGTGTAATGTTTGCCAGTCTAATCAAGTGGCCTGCGTAAACTCTAGTTCGTTTCACTTGTGTTTTGGTGGTAAGTAGAAGGTTACTTTCCGCCCATAAAATAGTTAAAAATTTTAACAACATTTTTCCATAGATGGTACTCCTCATACGGATCAATTATACCACTGCCTGGATGGCTTCGATTGTACCAACCTCTCGGCCATTTGTGTGCAAAAAAGCAGTCAACGTCCTCCAAGTTGTGGTGACACCTCTAAGTGTGGCCAGTGCAGTGCCAGTGTGAACTATCTATTTGCCTGCCAGAGTCGGGGCATCTTCCAGATGTGCTATGGAGCCACCAGACCCATGGGAAAGTTCGGCTACTGCCCCACGGGCACCGTTTGCGACGCCACTAGCAATGCGATCTGTGTCGCTGAGGTCGCGAACCAAAATGTCACCTGCGACCTCAATGATGACCTGGTGGACACTACAACATCAGCTCCAACAACCACAGAATCCACCACTAATTCAACTAGTACTGACAGCACCACTGAGCCTAGCACCACGGAACCCAGCACCACAGAACCCACCACTACGGAACAAAGCACAACTGAGATATCCTTGACACCCACCCAAATTTGTGCTCTTTACAACGCAACTGGGCTCTTTCCCATGATACCCTCGGATGCCTACTGCCAACGGTCTGTAAAGTCACTAAAATTTTCCACAATTATTTTTATTTTATTATTTAACGTTCATATCTTTACAGCTACGTTAGTTGCTACTTAAAAAATAATGTTGTTATCAAGGCGGCGGAATATAATTGCCCTTCTGATTCCTATTTCGTATCGCTGACTCAGAGTTGTGTCTACATTAAACCTGGTTACTGTCTTTAAGGCTTGCGAATTAATAATAAACCTTGAAATACTCCTGACTCGTTACTCCATTAGTTGGCTTAATCCAAATTAACTCCATTTAGCGTCAGGCTTGCCACCGAAGTGGAGCAGGTCGAGGGCAAATCCGTGGCACAGAGCTTGCTGGCACTGTTGTAGTACATGTCACCTGGACAGGTGTACGACTGGCCGCCCCAGCTGCCATTGAGCAAAAAGCAGTAGATGTACTCGTGACAGGTGGTGCTGGCATCCGTGCCCACTGGGAAGTATCCTTGCGACTGCATCGCTTGGCAGTATGCATTCGGATTACTGGTGGTCGGTGCGGCAGTGGTGGTTGTGGTGGAGCTCACGCTGGTGGAGCAGGTGGAGGGCATCGTGCCCACACACAAGCTGGCTGAGCTACTGAAGTACAAGGATCCCGGACAGGTGTATGTCTGTCCGACCCAGCTGCCGCTGACCAAGCTGCATTCGATGTACTGGCGACAGGTCGTATACGCATCATTGCCTACCGCAAATTTTCCCTGCGATTGCACCGCCGCACAATAACTGGAGGCTGAGCTCGTCGAGGGTGTGGCCGCAGTGGTTGTGGCGGCGGTGGTGGAGGTGGTTGTGGTGGTATCATCCGCATACGAACATGTGGGGGCTACCTGTAATGATAAGAGGAATTATAGTTAATTGGAAGTTTTAATTCATGGGACTTTGGGATATTATATTTCAAAAAGATAAAATTCCTAAAATTTTATTAAATTTAAAATCTTTAAAGCTTCTTAAACGAAAGCATGAAAATGCAATAAGAATCAGTCTCTGTGAAATGAATTCTCCTAGCCCTTAATTTCCTGTGCCACCTGTCAGAGTTTTCTACCTTCTCCAAACTTCCTTTTGGCCCTTTTGAAACTTTTCCTGTAAGGACACCAGAACTTACCCCGCCCGATGACAGGCCGCATATCTGGGTATCGTTGATGTTGCAAACATAGCCATCGGCACAGGTTCCCGTCGAATTCTGGACCGTATCCGTTCCCAGGCATAGGGCAAAGGTGCTGGTTCCGGTGCAAGCGAATGTCTGACTGGAGTCGCACTTGTTGCATTCCTGGCAATCAGCCTGGCTGCCTCCGGTGGAGTCCTCCGGTTCGCAGAGCACCCCACCCGTACCGCTCACACAAACATAGCCACTAGGGCAGTCGGTGGGCGACCCGGTGGATGTGCCACTCGCATTGCAGGCTTGCATTTGCGTAGAGGAGTAACAGGTCAGATTGTTGACGGAGTTGCACACGTTGCAGGTGGCGTGGGTCGAGGATAAAAAGCACCAGGACACGAAAAAGGCGAACAGGAACTGGCTGAGTGACATTTCTGCGAACTGATTTTCTGTTGTTTTCAAACTGACGGTTCTGGCCAACGGCCAATCAGCTTAAATAGAGAACTTGGAAGTTATTATGGTGCTCGCAGATTTTTAATCTGCGTCCCTAAGTCGTCTACGACCTCGGGAGGCGGGACCTTGGCTGATACTTTAATTTAGATAAGTTTCCCAAGGTTTTTGGTCTAAATATGGTCTTAAAGAATTGCATACTTTCCGGCACTCGCCATTTCTGTGGTGAAATGCGAAAGGTACATACATATATGAAAAATACTATTTGTAGAAAAATTTAGATATTATAAACATTATTCGGAACTTTCCATTTTCTCCCGTTCATCTACTTTTTCGGAAACGAACTTTTTATTTGGTTTTTTTCAATTTCCCCACTTTTGCTTCTACCGATGTCCATAGCTCTGCCAATTTTGATCCGATCAGGAAATAATGTACCATTTAGTAATCAGCGAACCCAAAAGCGACTTTCCTCATTCAAACCATTACCTAAATGTGGTTTTTAAATTTTTCGAATTTTTTCCTAGGGGTACCCCTTCAAAATTGTGGGTTTTCCTGATTTCCCCACTTTTGCTCCTTCCGATGGTCATAGCTCTGCCAATTCGTATCCGATCAGGAAATAAAATGCCATTTAGTAATCAGCGAACCCAAAAGCGACTTTCCTCATTCAAACCATTGCTTAAATGTGGTTTTTAAATTTTTCGAATTTTTTCCTAGGGGTACCACTAAAAAATTGTGGGTTTTCCTGTTTTCCCCACTTTTGCTCCTTCCGATGGCCATAGCTCTGCCAATTTGTATCCGATCAGGAAACAAAGTACCATTTAGTAATCAGCGAACCCAGAAGCTACTTTCCTCATTTAAAACATTGCTTAAATGTGGTTTTTAAATTTTTTGAACTTTTTCCTAGGGGTACCCTAGGAATTTCCCTTCAAAATTGTGGGTTTTCCTGATTTCCCCACTTTTGCTCCTTCCGATGGTCATAGCTCTGCCAATTCGTATCCGATCAGGAAATAAAGTACCATTTAGTAATCAGCGAACCCAAAAGCTACTTTCCTCATTTAAAACATTGCTTAAATGTGGTTAATAAATTTTTCGAATTTTTTCCTAGGGGTACCACTAAAAAATTGTGGGTTTTCCTGTTTTCCCCACTTTTGCTCCTTCCGATGGTCATAGCTCTGCCAATTCGTATCCGATCAGGAAATAAAGTACCATTTAGTAATCAGCGAACCCAGAAGCTACTTTCCTCATTTAAAACTTTGCTTAAATGTGGTTAATAAATTTTTCGAACTTTTTCCTAGGGGTACCCCTTCAAAATTGTGGGTTTTCCTGATTTCCCCACTTTTGCTCCTTCCGATGGCCATAGCTCTGCCAATTTGTATCCGATCAGGAAATAAAGTACCATTTAGTAATCAGCGAACCCAGAAGCTACTTTCCTCATTTAAAACTTTGCTTAAATGTGGTTTTTAAATTTTTTGAACTTTTTCCTAGGGGTACCCCTTCAAAATTGTGGGTTTTCCTGATTTCCCCACTTTTGCTCCTTCCGATGGTCATAGCTCTGCCAATTCGTATCCGATCAGGAAATAAAGTACCATTTAGTAATCAGCGAACCCAAAAGCTACTTTCCTCATTTGAAACATTGCTTAAATGTGGTTTTTAAATTTTTTGAACTTTTTCCTAGGGGTATCCCTTCAAAATTGTGGGTTTTCCTGATTTCCCCACTTTTGCTCCTTCCGATGGTCATAGCTCTGCCAATTCGTATCCGATCAGGAAATAAAGTACCATTTAGTAATCAGCGAACCCAAAAGCGACTTTCCTCATTTAAAACATTGCTTAAATGTGGTTTTTAAATTTTTCGAATTTTTTCCTAGGGGTACCCCTTCAAAATTGTGGGTTTTCCTGATTTCCCCACTTTTGCTCCTTCCGATGGTCATAGCTCTGCCAATTCGTATCCGATCAGGAAATAAAATACCATTTAGTAATCAGTGAACCCAAAAGCGACTTTCCTCATTCAAACCATTACCTAAATGTGGTTTTTAAATTTTTCGAATTTTTTCCTAGGGGTACCCCTTCAAAATTGTGGGTTTTCCTGATTTCCCCACTTTTGCTCCTTCCGATGGTCATAGCTCTGCCAATTCGTATCCGATCAGGAAATAAAGTACCATTTAGTAATCAGCGAACCCAAAAGCTACTTTCCTCATTTGAAACATTGCTTAAATGTGGTTTTTAAATTTTTAGAACTTCTTCCTAGGGGTACCCCTTCAAAATTGTGGGTTTTCCTGATTTCCCCACTTTTGCTCCTTCCGATGGCCATAGCTCTGCCAATTCGTATCCGATCAGGAAATAAAATACCATTTAGTAATCAGCGAACCCAAAAGCGACTTTCCTCATTCAAACCATTACCTAAATGTGGTTTTTAAATTTTTCGAATTTTTTCCTAGGGGTACCCCTTCAAAATTGTGGGTTTTCCTGATTTCCCCACTTTTGCTCCTTCCGATGGTCATAGCTCTGCCAATTCGTATCCGATCAGGAAATAAAATACCATTTAGTAATCAGCGAAGCCAAAAGCGACTTTCCTCATTCAAACCATTGCTTAAATGTGGTTTTTAAATTTTTAGAACTTCTTCCTAGGGGTACCCCTTCAAAAATGTGGGTTTCCCTGATTTCCCCACTTTTGCTCCTTCCGATGACCATAGCTCTGCCAATTTGTATCCGATCAGGAAATATAGTACCATTTAGTAATCAGCGAACCCAAAAGCGACTTTCCTCATTTGAAACATTGCTTAAATGTGGTTTTTAAATTTTTTGAACTTTTTCCTAGGGGTATCCCTTCAAAATTGTGGGTTTTCCTGATTTCCCCACTTTTGCTCCTTCCGATGGTCATAGCTCTGCCAATTCGTATCCGATCAGGAAATAAAGTACCATTTAGTAATCAGCGAACCCAAAAGCGACTTTCCTCATTTAAAAAATTGCTTAAATGTGGTTTTTAAATTTTTCGAATTTTTTCCTAGGGGTACCCCTTCAAAATTGTGGGTTTTCCTGATTTCCCCACTTTTGCTCCTTCCGATGGTCATAGCTCTGCCAATTCGTATCCGATCAGGAAATAAAATACCATTTAGTAATCAGTGAACCCAAAAGCGACTTTCCTCATTCAAACCATTACCTAAATGTGGTTTTTAAATTTTTCGAATTTTTTCCTAGGGGTACCCCTTCAAAATTGTGGGTTTTCCTGATTTCCCCACTTTTGCTCCTTCCGATGGCCATAGCTCTGCCAATTCGTATCCGATCAGGAAATAAAGTACCATTTAGTAATCAGCGAACCCAAAAGCTACTTTCCTCATTTGAAACATTGCTTAAATGTGGTTTTTAAATTTTTCGAATTTTTTCCTAGGGGTACCACTAAAAAACTGTGGGTTTTCCTGTTTTCCCCACTTTTGCTCCTTCCGATGGCCATAGCTCTGCCAATTTGTACCCGATCAGGAAACAAAGTACCATTTAGTAATCAGCGAACCCAAAAGCTACTTTCCTCATTCAAACCATTACCTAAATGTGGTTTTTAAATTTTTCGAATTTTTTCCTAGGGGTACCCCTTCAAAATTGTGGGTTTTCCTGATTTCCCCACTTTTGCTCCTTCCGATGGTCATAGCTCTGCCAATTCGTTTCCGATCAGGAAATAAAGTACCATTTAGTAATCAGCGAACCCAAAAGCGACTTTCCTCATTCAAACCATTGCTTAAATGTGGTTTTTAAATTTTTCGAATTTTTTCCTAGGGGTACCACTAAAAAACTGTGGGTTTTCCTGTTTTCCCCACTTTTGCTCCTTCCGATGGCCATAGCTCTGCCAATTCGTATCCGATCAGGAAATAAAATACCATTTAGTAATCAGCGAACCCAAAAGCGACTTTCCTCATTCAAACCATTACCTAAATGTGGTTTTTAAATTTTTCGAATTTTTTCCTAGGGGTACCCCTTCAAAATTGTGGGTTTTCCTGATTTCCCCACTTTTGCTCCTTCCGATGGTCATAGCTCTGCCAATTCGTATCCGATCAGGAAATAAAGTACCATTTAGTAATCAGCGAACCCAAAAGCGACTTTCCTCATTTAAAACATTGCTTAAATGTGGTTTTTAAATTTTTCGAATTTTTTCCTAGGGGTACCCCTTCAAAATTGTGGGTTTTCCTGATTTCCCCACTTTTGCTCCTTCCGATGGCCATAGCTCTGCCAATTCGTATCCGATCAGGAAATAAAATACCATTTAGTAATCAGCGAAGCCAAAAGCGACTTTCCTCATTCAAACTGTTGCTTAAATGTGGTTTTTAAATTTTTTGAACTTTTTCCTTGGGGTACCCCTTCAAAATTGTGGGTTTTCCTGATTTCCCCACTTTTGCTCCTTCCGATGGTCATAGCTCTGCCAATTTGTATCCGATCAGGAAATATAGTACCATTTCGTAATCAGCGAACCCAGAAGCTACTTTCCTCATTTAAAACTTTGCTTAAATGTGGTTTTTAAATTTTTCGAACTTTTTCCTAGGGGTACCCCTTCAAAATTGTGGGTTTTCCTGATTTCCCCACTTTTGCTCCTTCCGATGGCCATAGCTCTGCCAATTTGTATCCGATCAGGAAATAAAGTACCATTTAGTAATCAGCGAACCCAGAAGCTACTTTCCTCATTTAAAACTTTGCTTAAATGTGGTTTTTAAATTTTTTGAACTTTTTCCTTGGGGTACCCCTTCAAAATTGTGGGTTTTCCTGATTTCCCCACTTTTGCTCCTTCCGATGGTCATAGCTCTGCCAATTCGTATCCGATCAGGAAATAAAGTACCATTTAGTAATCAGCGAACCCAAAAGCGACTTTCCTCATTCAAACCATTACCTAAATGTGGTTTTTAAATTTTTCGAATTTTTTCCTAGGGGTACCCCTTCAAAATTGTGGGTTTTCCTGATTTCCCCACTTTTGCTCCTTCCGATGGTCATAGCTCTGCCAATTCGTATCCGATCAGGAAATAAA